CACGTGGTCACCATAATTTGATCCCTGACATCGATCTCTGAGCCAGGGGTAACCCATGAGCAGAGTCAGGAGTAAGCCCTGAGTACCTCCAGGTGTGGCCTCAAACAACTAAATAAAAACACTAACGGACTAACACATTCATAGCAAAAGCTGTTGCACACCTTTTTCGAATCTTTCGTGGCCTGAAATAATCCATGGGTTTAGGATGAAGAGGTAATTGACACACATTCTAAATGAAGCTTGCATTGTAAATGCACTCTGTCCACTTGTCAGGTCCGACCAGCTAGTCATTTCCTACTGTATCAAGTGAAATGAAGAAGCGACTTAACAGCGCCCAAGCAGGGCATCAATATTGGACACCGATATTGTGAACTGTGAGCCAGACAGGTCGCTCAGCCAGAGCACCTGCCTTGCAGGTATGAGGCCTTGAGTTGATCTGCTAGTACCCCCTACACACACGCACGCACACACACACGCACACACACACACACACACACACACACACACACACACATGCTATTTGAGTAGAGAACATTAAAGACTTAAGGTCTCTCCAGACTGAAGAAGGCATAAGGATACGGCAATCATTTTATAAAATATTGAAATGACAGAAAAAGCCATTTCCAAGTGCCAGAAGAGAATGAAACAGATTCTGTGACTAAATAAACATTCTCGCACCGTGGCTTTGAAAAAGCCTATAAATCTCCCCTTGCTCAGAGCCAGTAATCCTTCAGGCAAAGAGAACTTTACAGGATCCTGACGTCTTCCTGATGGGATGTTCGGTTTTCCTCCGTCCACTCACGGTCATGGACAGTGGGTTCACTTGGCACCACCTGCCTCACTTTTCAGGTGGACTAAAAGCCAGGACAGTGCTCTAAAGCTCCACTGGCCCACAAATAAAACGGCTCGTAAGCGAGGCCCTGCTCAGCGAGTCGGCTGAGCTCTTCGCATCACTGAAGGCCAGGCCTCGTGACCCTGGGTGCGAGTGGGAGATGGCGGAGAAGCCCGCAGCGGTGGCTCTGCAGGCGTAGCCGAGTGGCACTCACACCTGCTCTCGTCCCTGCCCCCCCGAACACCATCTGCTCAACTGATCAGCTCATCCCGGAGCCTGTCATGCCCTTCCCATGAAGAGATCCAGACCGCAAGCCAACTGCTGCTTCAGACCTGCCTCCACGCACTCCCCCGCCTCAGTGCTCGCACCCAGGCCTTCCCCACACAGAGCCGCTGTCTAATGAGCGGGGGGAGCTGCGCCGCCCTCTCCCTGCTCCTGGGAGGGGTCCCCCCCCAAGGCTCACAAGGCCAGTGGGGAGCTCAGGTCCCAGTGCCAGGCCCAGGAGGGGACCACACAGCCGGGAGCCCTCGCATACCCGACCTCCCGCTTGCTCCGACTCAAAGCCCTCCAGCCAGAGAGAGCCTTGATTGTATTAAATATCAAAATACCTATTTTCAACGAAGAATTTAATGTCACTGAGGTGTTAATATTAACCTTGTAACTTGTGAATACACACGTAAGCCATGTGAAATGAAAAACTCACACTCACTGTTTGCCTCCGTCCAGTCACTTTTAGGGTCGGGTCTTTGATCTTGAAGGGTTTGTTTTGTTTGGGGGCAAAGCCCAGCAGCACTCAGGGTTACTCCTGGCTCTGTGCTCAGGGATCACGCCTGATGGTGCCCAGGGACCAAATGGGGTGGCGGGGATCCAACCAAGGTTTGCCACGTGCAGGGTGAGCGCCTTCAGCGGTGCAGCCTGAGCCTTAAGTCTTTCATACAACCGCTGTCACCTGGAGGGAGAACTGGGTGGTTTCTTTGGAAACTGCTGGCGCCGCCTTCCTTTCCTGCCCCTGACGCAAGCGGCACGCTTGGCAGTGTTTGCACACTTGTCTGGGGTGCTCACCCGGCTCACACACACTTGGCTGGGCGGTGCCTACACCCCCACGCTGTGCGGTGGCAGCAGAAGTGAACCCACAGGCTTCCACACCGCCCTCGGGGAGGGGGGCTGCCTGGGCCTTCCCACTCTTATTCTGGGCCACAGCTGGTGTGCTTGGGTGGTGGGACGTGTGAGTTCCAATCCACGTCTGTTACTTGGGCTTTCATAAAAAGGGAAAAGGGTTTGGGGGAAAAAAGTTCCCAGTGGTGCTCGGGGGACACGTAGCGCTGGGACTCTCCAGGCTCCCGAGTGCTCTGCGCTGGGCTCTCTCTAAACAGAAGCTCCTAGAAATTTCTTTTCGAAAAATTTGACGTTGGGGGCCACACCTGAGAGTGCTCAGAACTTACTCCCGGCTCTGCACTGAGGAATTACTCCAGTGTTTGGGGCCCATGAGGAGTGCCAGGGATCAAACCCGGGTGGGCTCCGGGCAAGGCGAGCGCCCTGCCACCGGGACTCTAGAACGTTCTCCCGGAGCCTGGCCGTTCTCAGCAGAGGCACATGGGGCCACGCAACCTAAGTGACACCGGGGTGACATGCCTCCTAAATTTCAACACAAAGTGAACAAATATGCACATCTAATAATGACAACACGTGGCCTGTATTCTGCCGAGGGGAGGGGGAGACGAACTCAGGGAGGAAACGAGCAACTCGGCGGCAGCTGCCTGGGCACTGTAGGGCGGCACGGACAGCCCGGGGAGTAGCCGGGCACGAGGCGGCGCCAGGGCTGGTGGAAGGAAACGGGCTGAAAGAAGTGGGCCCTCTCGGAAACAAATGCCACGGCCTCGGCAAGGAGCTCCAGAAGGTTCTAGGGACGCGTGCGGCACGGGGCATCTTGCTCTGCCGGGCCCCGGGCCCTGGAGGTCAGAGCGCAGCGTCACTCATGTTTCTGCTGGGCACCCCCGTGCTGCTGGGGACACGCCTGGCTGGGGACACGGGGCTCGGCGGGGGCCAAGTGTCCTCCGTTCTGGGAAGGGACGAGTCTCGCACCTAAGGGTGTAAGACGCGGTCAGGGGCGCGGGCATCTCCGCTTTCGCCGCGGCACCCCGACCAGCGCACCCTTACGGCGTAAGTGCCAGGACGGCCCTTCCCGGTGTGGGCATCTACTCGGCAGTTCCCGGCTGGACAGGCCTGCGGGATGCTCCTGTGGGGTCCACACGCGTCCCGCGGGCAGCGCCGACTCCGGAGCTCGGACGCACGGCCCATGGTCCCTCTCCCGGGGCGGACGCACGGACCGTTTCCCGGCCGGGACGCAGGCCCCTCTCCCGGGGCGGACGCACGAACCCTCTGCCGGTGGGGGGGACGCACGGCCCCTCTCCCGGGGGTGCGGGACGCACGGCCCCTTTCTAGGGGCAGACGCACGGACCCTGTCCCTGGCCGGGACGCAGGCCCCTCTCCCGGGGCGGGGGGGGGGGGGGGTGGGGGGTGGGGGGACGCACGGCCCCTCTCTCAGGGCAGACGCACGGACCCTTTCCAGGCCGGGACGCAGGCCCCTCTCCCGGGGCGGACGCACGGACCCTCTCCCGGGCGGGACGCACGAACCCTCTGCCGGTGGGGGGGGGGGACGCACGGCCCTTCTCCCGGGGGGGCGGGACGCACGGATCCTATCCCTGGCCGGGACGCACGGACCCTCCCCCGGGCGGGACGCACCGATCCTCTCCGGGGCGGACGTACGGACCCTCTCCCGGCCGGGACGTACGGCCCCTCTCCCGGGGGAGTGGGGGGGGGGGGGGAGGGACGCACGGCCCCTCTCTCGGGGCAGACGCACGGACCCTGTCCCTGGCCGGGACGCACAGACCCTCTCCCGGGCGGGACGCACCGATCCTCTCCGGGGGCGGACGCATGGACCCTCTCTCGGGGCAGACGCACAGACCCTCTCCCTGGCAGGGACGCACGGATCCTCTACTTGGCGGGACGCAGGGACCCTCTCCCCGGGGGGCGGGACGCACGGCCCCTCTCTCGGGGCAGACGCACAGACCCTCTCCCGGCCGGGACGCAGGCCCCTCTCCCGGGGCGGACGCACGGACCCTCTCCCGGGCGGGACGCACGAACCCTCTGCCGGTGGGGGGGGGACGCACGGCCCTTCTCCCGGGGGGGCGGGACGCACGGACCCTATCCCTGGCCGGGACGCACGGACCCTCCCCCGGGCGGGACGCACCGATCCTCTCCGGGGCGGACGTACGGACCCTCTCCCGGCCGGGACGTACGGCCCCTCTCCCGGGGGAGTGGGGGGGGGGGGGAGGGACGCACGGCCCCTCTCTCGGGGCAGACGCACGGACCCTGTCCCTGGCCGGGACGCACAGACCCTCTCCCGGGCGGGACGCACCGATCCTCTCCGGGGGCGGACGTACGGACCCTCTCCCTGGCCGGGACGCACGGCCCCTCTCTCGGGGCAGACGCACGGACCCTGTCCCTGGCCGGGACGCACAGACCCTCTCCCGGGCGGGACGCACCGATCCTCTCCGGGGGCGGACGCATGGACCCTCTCTCGGGGCAGACGCACGAACCCTCTCCCTGGCCGGGACACACGGACCCTCTCCCGGCCGGGACGCACGGACCCTCTACTTGGCGGGACGCACGGACCCTCGCCCGGGCGGGACGCACGGCCCCTCTCTCGGGGCAGACGCACAGACCCTCTCCCTGGCAGGGACACACGGACCCTCTCCCGGGCGGGACGCACCGATCCTTCTCCCGGGGCGGACGCACGGCCCTTCTCCCGGCCGGGACGCACGGACCGTGTCCCTAGCCGGGACGCACGGACCCTCTCCCGGCCGGGACGCGCGGCCCCTCTCCCGGGGGAGGGGACGCACGGCCCCCCGCCCTTGGGGGCCCCGGGGCGCGCGGCCTCCGGCGGGCAGTGCGGGCGCGGGGTCCGCAGGAGGGTCGCGGGCGCGCGGCCCCCGGGGCGCGGGCAGGGGCGGGGTCCGGGCGCGGGGCCCGCGGCGGGCCCGGGGCCAGGGCCCGGCGCGGGGCGGGCCGGCCGCGGCAGGAAGGGGCGGGCGGCGGGCGGGCCGTTCCCGGCAGGCGCGCGGGCGCGGGTAGAAAAGGCGCGCGCGGGCGGCGGCCGCGGCCCGACGGCGCCATGAGCGCGGCGCTCTTCAGCCTGGACGCGCCCGCGGGCCTGGGCCTGGGCGCGGGCAAGGCGGCGCGCGCGCCCGAGCCCGCGATGGACGACGACGAGGGCGCCATCGACTTCAGCGCCTACATCGACTCCATGGCGGCCGTGCCCACGCTGGAGCTGTGCCACGACGAGCTCTTCGCCGACCTGTTCAACAGCAACCACAAGGCGGGCGCGCTGGAGCTGCTGGGCCCGGGCCCCGGCGCGCCGCGGCCGCTCAAGCGCGAGCCCGCCTGGGCGGGGGACGCGGCCGGCTCGCTGCTGCCCGCGCAGGTGGCGGCGTGCGCGCAGACGGTGGTCAGCCTGGCCGCGCCCACGCCGCCCGCGTCGCCCGAGCCGCCGCGCGCCAGCCCCGCGCCCGCGCCCGCGCCCGCGCGCGACAAGGCGGCGCTGGCGGCGGCCAAGCGCGGCCCGGACCGCGGCAGCCCCGAGTACCGGCAGCGGCGCGAGCGCAACAACATCGCCGTGCGCAAGAGCCGCGACAAGGCCAAGCGGCGCAACCAGGAGATGCAGCAGAAGCTGGTGGAGCTGTCGGCCGAGAACGAGAAGCTGCACCAGCGCGTGGAGCAGCTCACGCGCGACCTGGCCGGCCTGCGCCAGTTCTTCAAGCAGCTGCCCGGCGCGCCCTTCCTGCCCGGCGCGGCCGACGGCCGGTGACCCCGGCGCGCGCGCCCGCCCGCCCGCCCCTAAGTTATTGGAGGAGCAGGGACGCTCGCCGCCGCCGCCGCGCGTGGGTGCCGCGGGGCGCGCGGACGGACTGCCGCGAGACGCAGAGACTGAGCACGCTCCCGTTTTTATACGAGACTTTGGAACCGCGTTTGTAAGAATAAAGACTGGTGAAACCGCTCCCGCTCCCTGTGTTGGCCGGGACGCGGCCCGCCCGGGGCGGCTCTTCGCCGGGTCGCGGGGAGGCGCCGGGGTCGCGGGGTGCTCCGGGGGGCGGGCGGGCAGCGGCGCGGAGGGTCCCCGGCTCGCGGGCGCGGCCCACTTCTCGCCGCTCTCACCGCGGCCGGGCCGGCTCGGGGCGCTAAGGCCGGGGGATTGCGCGGGGGTGGCAGGACAGCCGGACCCCCGACCTCTAGCCCTGTGCCCCGGTGGTGGACCTGGAGGCCGACCTGGCGCTTCCCTCGGTCGGCAAGGACCGGCTGGCCGGCTCCGCGGTCTCGCGGGGGACGCGCTCGAGCCCCCGCACAAGCCCACCCGGCCGGCCGGCGCTCCAAGTCCGGCGCGCGTGGGTGGGCGCGGCGGCGCCTCTCCGGCGGGCGCCCCGAAACAGGGAACTGCGAAGTGCTGAGTTCGGGTATTTATTGTACTCCAACAGTCGCAGACAGAGGACAAATACTGGGCAATATGAGGGGCCAGAAAAACGCTGTTGACTTGTGGATTAAAAACCTGGACCGCGTCCTGTCCTCCGGCCGGGGGCTACTGCCGCCTGGGCCTGGGCCGGGAGGGGCCCTTCCTGCTGGTGCGCAGGGCCGCAAGGCCAAGGGGGCCCAACCGGGAACTCCAGCGTGGCCCTGGAACTCTCCCCGCCCCTCCCCCCAATTTCAAACATTTTAAAGTTGTAACTGAACAAAAAGTTCTGCTGTAGTAACGTTCTTGCCTAAGCGAAGCCTCCAGCTTATTTAAGCTTCCAAGGCCAGGCTGCCAGGCTTGCAGCAATGTAGTCAGAATATAAACTGTAGAAATAGAATCTAGTTTGCAAAATTTTACCACCAGAGTCCCCCAGAAAAAACTGAAGCTCCATTTCAAGACCATAAAACACACTAAGTCGGCCCATGGTTAACAAATAACTACTCAAACCGCTGCCACCATCCTGGCGGCCACATGGCAAAGTTCACAGATCCTGTGACAACCGTGTCATTCCAGAGAGGCTCTTTCGGCTCCCAGAAGCTCGATTTCCTCCAATCCAATGCAGCTGGCCGGGTGGGTGGTTCTCGACTGCACAAAACAATTCAGCAACCCCACCTCCTTTCCGAGGACACTATTCACTTCATAAGTCTGCAGTGATTTAAAAGGGGGGGAAAAAAAAAGCATGCTGGTTAAAGCAAGTGATTGGCTCTGGACGATCTGTTCCAGGCAACAGGGCCCCAGAGAGCAGTGTGGACACCGTCTCCCCTGCCCGGCACCTTCCTCTCTGGGGGGGGCGGGGGTGGGGGGAGCAGTCCTGCGGATGATGGCACAGCAAGGAACACTCAGCTGACCGAACCGAACCCTCCCTACAGGAGCAAGAGAGGGGCGAGTGCCAGCCCCACAACACAAGCTCCCAGCCCTGTGGACAAACCTGTATATTCGCCTGTGCCCACACACACACACACACACACCTGTGCACACACACACCTGCAGACACACCTGCACACATGTGCACACATACCTGTGCACACATCTGCACACACATCGTGTGCACACACGTCTTGCACACACCTACACACACTCCCCGCGTGCACACCTACAAAGACCTGCACACACACGTGTGTGCAAAGCTATCGCTGAGAAGGAGCGAGCCTGGGAAGGGTGTACACAGGGTCCCGCCTCGGTCCTAGCTGGGGGTGCGGTGGGCACGTGCCCCTTCACACCCTCTGGGAGACTTTCCCACGCCGGCAACACTGATCAAAGGATTTCCTGCTCCGTGCCGGCCTGACCAAACACCGCCCTCTGTCACCTTCCGTGTGAGGAGCACCAGGGCTACTGGCCGGCCCCAGGCGAGTCTCACCTGCAGGTGAGAAGCGGGGACACGGGGCAGCAGGGCAGCAGACGTGAAGGGCCCTCCTCCGTCAAAGCCCAGAACCTGTTCTCCCCGGCCCGCTGGGAAGCCTCGCCTCTGTCCCACAGGGCGATGCGTCCTACCAGAAATTCCTGTGCTGCCGCTTGCAGGAGTGCCTCACCCTTCTCCAGGGCGCAAAACACTTGAGAAACCTCTGCAGCGCCTCCTCTGCAGCTGAACGCACCCCTTCCGCCACCAACATGCCCTGGCAAGGCCGAGGCTGGTTTCTCACGAAGGCTGCAGCCAGTGGGCACCGAGCGACCCCGGTGCTGGGCTCTCAGGACAGTGCTCGGCCAGGTCTGCATCTCCAGAACTGCCACACACGCAGGCCCAGGGCAGACTGGCAGCAGAGACACGGGGCTGCCAGGGGCCGAGGGTGGCTCAGCTGGTGGCCGGACATCAAGCCCAGCAGAGCAGAGACAAAGGCCCCGTCTGGGAGCTCGGTGTGCGCGGAGGGCGATTCTCTGGCTTGGGGTTCCTCACTGGGAGTCAGGTCAGCACTGGGTCAATGCAGCGAGACAGGCGAGGGAGCAGAGTTAAGAGGCTGAGAGGTCCAGAGGGCCGATGGCGGCTCACACGGGACGCGGGGGAAGGGGCGCCCCCGGGGAGGCGGTGGGGCAAGACCCCTGCTGGCCATCCGGGGGTGGCAGGGCACGGCCTCCAACCTCTCGCTGTGGGCACACGGCACCCGGACTGGCAGGCCAGTGCTTTTCCGTTTTGAATCCCCCTCTCCCAAACTCCGCTGTGCAGTCTTCGGGCCTTTGCTGTTCCCTTGCTGTGCATCCCACGCATAAGGGAGATGATTCTGTGCCTAACCCTTTCCTCTGACTACTCAGCATGACTTCCTCTCGTTCCAGTTGCCGCAGATTGTATGATTCTGTTATGAGAGCTGCATAGTATTCCCTTCCACACACACACACACACACACACACACACACACACACACACACGCAGCTTCTTCATTCATCTCTATTCAGGCATTTGGGTGTTTGCTTATCTCGGACACTTCACTAAGGGTGACGATGAACACAGGTGTCCACTAGAACGAATGCCTCACTACTTTGGGGCTACAGATGATGGTTCTCAGCCTCTACACATACGGAGCAACACTGGCATAGGGACGTGTGTCTGGAGTGCCCTGGCAAGGAGCGAAGGGCTGTGCAGAGCTGTAGGCGCCGAGGCAGGAGGGAGACAAGCTTCTCTGCTGCCTCTCACCATTTAGCTTTGCACACATAGGTGCATGGAATGGGTGACCCTGATTTTATCGAAACAAAAACTTCTGACTCGGAAAAAATGCCATCAAAACAAAGCCCCCTGCCCTATTTTCAGGGCAACCGTAAAATCAAGAATAACTGTATTCAATTAATAAATGCTGTCAGCGTGGGATGGTGAAACGTGTGGGAAGCACAAGCCACCCACAGAGGAAGCTCATTGTGCCGGGCCCGTCTCTGGGGCCCTAGACAGCGGGCCTGTCTGTCCGCGACTGCCCGTGATGAGCTCCCTGAGCCCAAGTGCCACTCCTGGGGGGCCCACGGCTGGGAGACTGGCCTGCACCTGACAGGGCCCAGCCACGCTGAGGAGAGGAGGATGGTGGCTGGCAGAGGTGGAAGGAGGGGCGTGGTCGTGGCTCATTCCCCAGGTGCTCCTGCACTGCCCGACCCTCTCCGCCCCCCCTGCTGACACTGACCTACCATCGCGAGGACGTTCCAAGCTCTCTCCCTCGGGGCCTGAGACAGGACGGCAGCAGAGGGTTTGCTTACAGGGGCCGCCCCAGATTGGACCCCTGGCTTCACATACGTGACCATGCCCAGGGGACGGGGCAGCTCGAGACCCCAACGAGATGAAGCCATGGCAGCGCACCCGCTGCCTCTGGCCGGGAAAGGACAATCTCCTCGTCCAGAGTGGGGCTCGTCCGAAGGCTAAGCGTGCGCCCACTGTCTGCGGGCCGCTGAACACTGCCTGCACAGCGGACGGTCTGCCTGGGGTGATCACTAACCTGGCCCCGGGCGGGCGGGCACAGTGGGCTGACTTACCCCCTCCTCGGGCACAGCGGGCTGACTTACCCCCTCCTCGCAGACAGCCGACTGCAGGAGAGACGAGATACTGCTCTGTAACAGCTGCAACACAACAGAGGCTGGGTCAGGCTGGCTCGGGGGGATGTGTTCGCGCCAGCCCCCAGGACTCAACATCTGCATGCTTGAGTCAAGCCACCTGCCTTCTCTTCCTGAGCGCGAGCTCCCAGCTAACACAGGCCTCCGGTCCCGAAGGTGAGCCCCCACCGCCCGCCGGGAGTCCTGGGCCCCGGCCAGCCTACCTTGACCTTCACTGTGGCCCGCGGGCAGGAGGGGCAGTGCAGGAAGACCTGCAGGTGCCTTCTGAGCAGAGGGGAGGTGAGCCGACGGCCGCAGCTCCCGCAGGAGAAGGCCCCGCTGAAGTTCAGGAGCGTGCGGAAGAGACCAGAGACAGCACGGGTCAGTGACGCTGGCCCAGGGGACGCTCCCTGCAGAAACCTAGACCTGAGCCACAGGCGAGCAGCAGCTCTGGCCGAGGGCGTTGCCCAGGGCTAGCAAGCTCCTCTGAGGATAGACATCACGGCTTTAGGGAGGGCTGTGGCCAGAGGCGAGGGGGACACTGAGGCAGAGAAGGCGCCAGCTGCGCAAACCTCGCAGGAGTGCAGTTAGGATCTTTGGGGCCAAGGATGGAAGGCTGCTTCCTGTCTAACTGAACAAAGGAGAACAACACCCTGACCCGTTCCCCTAGGTCACCAGGATGTAGTTTATAAAGCGGCCAATGGCGGGTGGGCTCATGCACGCCATCTTACCCCAACTGGATGCCTCTCGCTCCCCACTGACTCAGTCCCCATCTTGCCTGCCCCCACGTCTCACTGCCACTTTCTGCTGCTCATTTTTGGGGGGCAGTGCGTGGGCTTACTCCGGAAGGCAGGCTTGGGGGGCCATACGGAATGTCAGGGTTCAAACCCAGGCCAGGAACATGCCAGGCAAGTGCTCTACCTGCTGACAGGCTTCACCACGGTTTTGTGTGTCTTGGAAATTAACCCTTAGTCAGTGAGAAGGACTGTCGGCAAATATTTGCCTCCAGTCTTTTTATTGTCAGGATTGCTTTTATGATGCAGAGCTTCTTGGTCTGATAGAGTTTATCTTCTTTGTTTATCTTTGCTTCTATACGCTTAGCTACTGGCAATGAATCAGAGATTCCTCTAGACTCAATGGCATGGAGAGTTCTGACTAGTTTTCTCAATACAATTCATGGATTCTGGTCTGACACCAAGGCTTTTAATCCATTTTGAATAACTACTGTGCATGGAGTAAGTTGGAGGTTTGAATTCATTTCATTCCACGTGACTGACCAGTTTCCCCTGCACCATGTGCTGAAGAGGTTTCCCTGGTCCAGTTCATGCTCTTAGCGCCTCTGCTGAAAATGAGCTGACCATAAGCCTGTGGGCTGACGCTGGGCTCTCACTTCCGTCTCACGGGCCTGAAAGTCCGTCTTTATCCCAGCATCACACCGTTTTACTATCATAGCCTTGAAATACAAAGTTTGCAAGAGAAGAGCCTCCCGTCTTCTTTTTTCCTACATTTGCCTTGGCTGCTTGGGAAGTTCTACTACACCATATACATTTCAGCAGCATTTTGTCTACGTCTTTGCAAAATGCATCTGTCTTATTTACTTATCCTTTTAGTGAGGCGAAAGGTTTTAATTGGAAGAAACTTACTTAGAAAAGCAGGAAAGGAGAGAAAGAGAAATTCAAGAGAGAACAGACTTCTCTAGGGGGGAAAAGCCTGCCGTGTGTATTTTCACAGGGACGGCCTCAATATCTGTAGTGCTTTGGGTAGGATCGTCATTTTCCCAATGCAAATTCCTCCTGTCCATGAACGGGGAATGTGTTTCCATTTTCTTGTGTCTTCTCTCATTTCCTTTAGTTGTGATTTATAGTTTTCTTTGTATAAGTCTTTTATGTCATTACATTGATTCCCAAGTACTTGATTTTTTCTGGGGTGTGATTGTGAACGGGTTTTATTTTTTATGTATTCTTTTATCACTGTAGAGAAATGTCATGAATTTCTGTAGGCTGCTTGTGCATCCTGTTTATAGTTTCTAGGAGGTTTTTGTTTTTGGTTTTTGGTTATCTTCGGGGTTTTCTAAGCAGAGGATTGTGTCATCTGCAAATAGCGATAGTCTGGCTTCTCTTCCCATCTGGATGCCCTTAATTTCCCCTTCTTGTCTGATTGTTTATGGCAAGAACTTCCACTTCCAATACTATATTGACTATTCTAGTGGTGAGAGTGTGTAACTTTGTCTTGTGCCTAATCTTAGAGGAAAGGCTTTAAGTTTTTTTACTATTGAGTATGATATTAGCTGTTGGTTCAGAGTAAACGGTTTCAGTTATACTGAGAAAAGTTCCTTCTATCCCCACTTTCTTGCTAATCTTTGTCATGAACAGGTGTTGGATCTTGTTTTCTGTATCTGCTGATATGCTCATAGTTTTCATTTTTCCTTGTATTGATATGGTATATTATGTTGATGACTTCTGTACATGAAACCATCCATGAATCTCTGGGATAAATCCTACTTGGTCTGGGGCCAGCGATAGTACAGTGGGTAGGGCACTTGCCTTGCATGTGGCCAACCAGGTTTGGTCCCCAGCAACCCATATGTCCTCTGAGCATCGCCAGGACTGACCCGTAAGTGCAGAGCCAGGAATACTCCATGAACATTAATAGGTGTGACCCAAAATTAAAAAAAAATCCTACTACGCCCTCTCCTCTCTGGAAAGAAAGATGGCGGCCACATGGGAGCCTTGTGGACAGCAGGTATGAGCCGGGGGTGTGGGGGCGACTAAAACCTCATGGGAAGGGGGGCGTTCCGGTCCGTCCTTCACGCCCTACCGAGGTCACCAGTTGCCCCCCACGAGCGGCTCTCCAGCACGGCCAAAGCCCCAGAAGCACAAGGGCTTAATGCAGAACCCAGCAGCTTGGAGCAGAAAAGTGAAAGGACTATGCGTTAATCCAGGCAATCATTTCTGCCCAGAGGGGAAAGGGTGTTGCTCCCTTCCGCCCTCCTCCCTCTGGAAAGAAAGATGGCGGCCACATGGGAGCCTTGTGGACAGCAGGTATGAGCCGGGGGTGTGGGGGCGACTAAAACTTCATGGGAAGGGGGGCGTTCCGGTCCGTCCTTCACGCCCTACCGAGGTCACCAGTTGCCCCCCACGAGCGGCTCTCCAGCACAGCCACGGCCCCAGAAGCACAAGGACTTAATGCAGAACCCAGCAGCTTGGAGCAGAAAAGTGAACGGACTATGCATTGATCCAGGCCATCAAGTCTGCCGGAGGGGAAAGGGTGTTGCCCCATTCGCCCTCTCCTCTCTGGAAAGAAAGATGGCGGCCACATGGGAGCCTTGTGGACAGCAGGTATGAGCCGGGAGTGTGGGGGCGACTAAAACCTCATGGGAAGGGGGGCGTTTCGCTCCGCCCTTCACGCCCTACCGAGGCCACCAGTTGCCCCCCACGAGCGGCTCTCCAGCACGGCCACGACTCCAGAACACAGAAACCAATTTCTTAACTATCTGACTTTCAGTAGAAATACTTCCAGGGTCAATAGGTAAAATAGCAGAAATCCAAAACCAACATTTAATTCTTGAACCCAGCTGTAGAAAGCAAATCACTTCACAATGCTTTTTCAGCATGTCTGATTTGGGGGGGGGGTAAACTCTAAATAATAGTGGCGAATCTTTTATTGAAACAATCTAATCAAAGCGGATAGAGTGTTAACTAGAATTCATCTGCCTCACAGGGACGGGGAGGGGTGGGGGGTGGGGTTTTATTGGGGTTCTTCATGGGAAAAAATAAGTATTGGTAAAGGGAAATGTGTTTGATATTTGCATGACTGAGACATAAACCTGAAAGCTTTGTAACCTTTCCCACAGTGATTCAATAAATAAATTAAAAAAAAAAAATAAAAAAAATAAATAAAAAAAAAAATCCTACTAGGTCATGTATGATCCTTTGGATGTACTTTAGATTTGGTTTGCTAATATATTGCTAAATCTTCGCATCTATATGCATTAGGGATACAGAACTACAGTCTTATTTTTTAGTGGTGTGTTTGTCTTTTGGTATCGGGGTAAAGTTTCCCTGAGAGTTAACTGTCTGGGAGGGTGAATCGAAAAACTGCTTTTTTAAAAAAACTTTTTATTACATCACTGTGAGACAGACCCTTACAAAGCTGTTCCTGATTGGATTCCAGCCAGAGTATCCCAACCCCTGTCCCTCGACCAGGGGGCGTTTCCCACCACCAGTGTCCCCAGGTTCCCTCCCGTCCCCACCAGCACACCCCCCCCCCCCCCCCCACACACACACCGCTTGTTCCCCTTTTGGGCACTGTGGTTCGCAATATTGATATTGAAAGGTTATTAAGAATATCCCTGTACCTACTTTTAATACTCAGCTCTTGTCCAGCGTGATCATTCCCAGCTATTATTGTTATCCTGGTCTCTTCTCTGTCTTACCCTCAGCCCCACACACACTTGTGGTTAGATCTGGCCACTGACCAGTCCTCCTAACCCGATTTCCCTGGCAGTCATTCTATACCTGTCCCTCTCCTCCTGCCTCATTTCACTCAGCATGACACCCTCCCTGTCCGTCCATTTATAAGCAAATTTCAGGGAAAGTTTACTTCTTATGACCAGCATTCACGCTTGTTACTAGTACCAAGTAAACTAAGAATCCACACTTGTCTTTCTAATACGAGCCGGTGATGACGTGTTTATACATCAGGCCCCCAGCAAAGGTGGCATCAGGGAGGTATGCTTGCCTTCCTCCTCCTCTTCCTCCTGGGGGTGGGGGAGGCAGAGGCAGAGGGTGCCGGCCCACACCCAGTCCTGTGCAAGACAAGCACTCCCCCTTCTCTGTCTCTGGGCGTCCCACGGCCTCTTAGGAGGAAAAGTGGGGCCCACGGGTCACGCAAGTGGTAGGACACAAGGCGAGCATTAAAAGGCCCCGAGTTCCATCCCCAGCACAATCTGTCTCACAAAACTAAAAAGAGGAAGCAAGCAAAACGGAAATCCTGTGGTGAGGACAACTTGGGAAGCCCAGCAATGGACCTGGTGAACCTGAGAGGATCTGGCTCGGGTCAGGAGGGGCACGGAGGCCCCAGGAGCAAAGAGCCCGCTCACGGGGGCCTGGGAGAGTCTCACTCCTCAGAGGACCAGGAGACAGCCTGCTGGGCTTCCCCCTTGGCCCCCGCTTTCCCTTTGCAACCCTATCGGGAACACAGGGCCGAGGAGGAGGCGGGGTCCTTCTGAGGGAGACAGCCAGCGGGAGTGCGAAGCCCCTTCCCGGCCCTGCCCCTCACCTGCTCCCGGGGTTCTCCTCCAGCCTCCCGCTGCCACACCAGTTGCACACCGGCCAGGAGCAGGCCGTGGTCTCGTCCACGCCAGCCACGGTGCCTGGGCACGAGCAGAGCAGAGTCAGTCGCGGCCCGCCCACACCCTGTTTCACCCACCAGTTGTCTTCTCTCACTTTGAGTTTATATAAACACTCCGAAGCACTCATAGCATCACTTCTGGTGAAAACAAAATGGAAAAAAGTGAGACGTTCTCAAACATCACTGAGCGCTCTCACTCTTGCCCAATCTTCCGTTCTTCTTCCAGGACCAGCCAGCCAGCACCGCAGTTTGTCCCTCAGCCCCTGCAATGCTGCTGGAGAGGGTCTTCGTCTGGAGGGCACTGCAGGCCCAGCCGCGAGTTCGCCGCCTGAGCCCTACCTCGGCCCTGAGGCCGCAGTATCATGGGGTTTTGTTGTTGCTGCTGCTGTCATTAGAGTCTGATTAACACACACATATCCCAGACTTGATAGTATTGTCCACTGAATAAATAAGGTACAAGTGCTAAAATGAAGAATACCTAAACTGGAGAAATCACACGAGACAATGCTAACCAACCAAAGAGAATATTTCTTCATCCAAGAAATGGAAACTAAAATAAAAATTCCTTGTCAAGGAGGCTATGGCATGTTAAAGTTTCTAAAACTATTCTCTACTGCAGACACGTAGTGTAAGCTTCTTCTTCTTCCCTTTCCAGGGGCCGTCCCCAGAGATGCCCAGGGGCCCCTCTTAGCCATCAAGACCATCAAGACCAGTCAGGGTGCTGGTGGCCTTCAGGGCCGTCCCGGCAGAGCTGAGGGACTCCCGTGAGGGCACTGCAGGCCCAGTCGCGGGCTCCACCATCTGACCCCTATCTCGGCCCTGAGGCCGCAGTATCATGGGGTTTTGTTGTTACTGCTGCTGTCATTAGAGTCTGATCTGTGGACCAGAGCCAGTATGCTGCTGGGGGCTACTCCCAGGTCAGTGCGAGGAGTCACCCTGGAGGTACGGTGCGTGGGGGCTTAAACCTGACCCCCCACCCGAGCATGCATGCAGGCCCTGAGCCCTCCCCAGCACTCGGTGCCGAGGCCAACAGCAGGGAAGCAGCGAACCTCTCCCTCCCCTTTGTGCGAAGCCTTTCCTGGCAGACTGCCCCGAGCAGAGTTACCACGTCCGACAGCATGAGTGTGAGAGCTGCAGAAGCACCTCCAGAAGGTTCCCTCAGGACTTCCCGAGTCAAAGTCGGCATGTGCTAAGGCTGAGCTCCCCGCACAGTGCTTGGCGACTACCTAAGTCAGAGCCTCCCTGACAAGGAACTCCTGATTTTAGTTTCCATTTCTGGGATAAAGAAATGTTCTCATTGGTTTGTTAGCATTGTCTCATGTGATTTCTCCAGTTTAGTTATCCTTCATTTTAGCACTTATGCCTTATTTGTTCAATGAACAATACTATCATGTGTGGGATAAATGTGTATGCTGAAAGAAAAAAAAGAAGAGGAAAGTTAAATTCCTATTCTTAGGAATTTCACAGGCAGATAGAAAAAACAAAGTAAAAATATCATGAAATGACATGTTATGTGGGAGAAATACCTATAGGAGGTATATGGAAAAGCACTGTTACCCCAAATAAACCATGCAAAGGATACTTGAAACTCAACAGCCAGGAGGGCCAGAGAGCGCAGTGGGCAAGGCGCTGGCTTTGCATGTGGCTGAACCAGGCTCTATCTCGGCACCACACGGGTCTCCAAGCCTACCAGAAGCGACCCTTGAGTGCAGAGCCAGGAGGAAGCAACGATCATCACAACAACAATGCCCCAAACGAAAAAACCCAACTCAACAATAAGAACACAAACAACCTGAAACAACCTGGTTTAAAAATACCTTCACGTGGTGGAGTTTGTGCCCAATTCAATCAGCCTAATCAGTGGCTGAATATATAGCAGAACTCCTACATTTAAAAAAAAAACCTTAATGTGGGTGGTGAATGCCTGGCACGTGAAGCCTGGGGTTCAATCCCTGGCATCACAAAAAGCAAGCCAAACCAAAACACCTAACAGAACCATGAAAGAGCTACAGCTGGCACATCGGCGATCATTAGAGAAATGAAAATTAAAAGGGGAGACGCTGTAGCATGCCCATGTTTATGAGGATGGCCTGGTCCTCGCAGTGACCATATCGAATGCCAGCGAGGCTGTGGAGCAACGGGGATTCTCATTAACTGACGGCAGGAACGAGGACGACACGTCCACGCTGCAGTGCGGCCTGAAGGCTTCCTCAAAAAGGAAGCCCAGCAATCACACCCCCTAGTGTGATTAACAAGGAAGGTCACTCAAGCACCTCCACATGGAAGTCAGAGCAACTTTATTCATATTTGTCAGAACCCGGGAGCAACTGAAATAGACTCCAGAGGGGAAGAGATGAACATCAAGAATATGGAATGTTATTCAGCACTGAATTAAAAGTGCACTACCAAGAAAAGCCAGGGAAGAATCTATCTAGAATGCGTATTATTACTGAAGCCAACCTCAAATGGCTACATACCGCGTGGACTCCAACTACATGACCTTCTGGAAAAGGCTAAACCCAGGAGGCAGTGGGAAGGTCGGTGGCTGTCAGCGGTGAAGGGGAACGGAGAGACGAGCAAGCAAAGCACAGAGGGTTTTCAGCGACGCTACAGAGTGCGTGTGTGGGAGCACGTCCCCGTCTTCCCCTGTAGAAAGTATGATTCCAGGGCTGGAACAATGGCATGGTGGGTTGGGCGGTTGCCTTGCACGCGGCCAACCCAGGTTCGATTCCCAGCATCCCATATGGTCCCCCAAGCACCGCCAGGAGTAACTCCTGAGTGCAGAGCCAGGAGTGACCCCTGTGCATTGCCGGGTGTGACCCAAAAATAAAAAAAAGTACGATACCGAGAACGCATCTGAATGTAGGGGGCCTTGGGTGATGGCACCTGCCCAAAAGGGGCTGACATCTTGCCACACGGCCCAGCCGGCCCAACTCTGGCGCTGGTGGGAGTTGGTAAAGCCTATGCAAGAGTGCAGGGGAGGGACTGTGGGGCAGCTCTCCAGAAACCAGACACGAAACCGACCAGCAGAAAGGACCCCTGAGAGGTAGAGGAGGCCTGGGGCCGGGTTCGGGTCAGGGATGGCTTCTGAAGGCAGTGCTGCCTGCGGCCTATGGCCAGACCCACAGCCCGCAGCAGGCTAGGTGGGGAAACGGAGCACCCAGAGGTGCTTGGATTTTAGACCTGACCCCGGAGGGATTGAGAGGTGCAGGAGAAACTTCAAACAAGGGACTGAGGATGCCCAAGTCCCTTGGAATGCGAAGCATGAATACGTATTATAAGGCAAACCGCACTCTTTAAAAAGTTGTGACATTAGACATTCGATGAAAAAGGCATGACCCGAGTTTCTAAGGGAAAAGAAGCCTCCTCCTCTGCACTCTGGAAGCACAGGCTCTCACTGCCTGCTACAATAAGCATTCGGAGAACTTTATCAGTAGAGGATAAAATAAAATGATGAGAACTAGGCTTGGTTTATTAAAATATGTTCATGCAATGCATGCTTGAATGAGTTTTAGAAAACGAAAATAATACAGCTTGATTTTGAAAAGACTACTGCCACGGATTTCATTGTCCCTGCAAATCGAATCAAGATTCCTTCAGAGGGATGAGGAGAAAATCGAGAAAGGCTTATAGTGCGGCTAGAAAGGAGTGTGCATCTGTTTACAGCAGGGTGGGAGGGGGCAGTGAGGGCCTCCTGGTGGGCCCAGGTTGCTGCTGAATTCCTAACAGAGGTTCCAAAGCTGTCAGGGCAGACATGTGCTAGCCTTTCCTCTGTCAGAGACGTGGGTGAAGAAGTGGCCCGAAAGTGTCCCCAGGGCTCCCACACTCTCCCTGCAGTGCTGCTGACCTACAGGCCCCAGGGTCACATTAGGTGGACTTTGGGTGGGGTGGGGAGGTGGGCACGTGTTCCAGTCCTTAACCAGCCCCCAAAGTAAATACTTTTAATAGCTCCCTGCTGCTGAAGCCTGGACCCTAGCCCCCCACACCCTTCAGACACTCAACCAAAAGGGTGGGGGGGAGGGCCAGAGAGCCAGCACAAAGGTCAGGGCGCTCCCAGGGCAGGATCCTGACGGCTCCAGGTGTGCCCCTTAAGTGAATGTTACACATACAGAAACAGTTTCCAGTACACTTACTTCCCCGCCATCCTTTGGAACTCATTTCTGGCTGAGCTTTCCAAAGGTCATTAAATACATATATTTCGTAGATGAACATATACTCCAGATTACACATATTTTCTCAACTGGGGCCTTGTTCCCTAACTGGGAGGAAACTGCTTAATCCCACAGGGACACAGATGACATTAGCACCCCACATTGCCTAGGGGGAAGGGGCCTGCTTGGCTGGGAGCCCCCAAACCAGTCTTCCGCAGCTTCAGGAAGCAGCTGCACGGCCACCCTCAAAGGCACTGGCTGGACCAGACGAGGCGCACCGTGGCCATGTTCTCAGGAGGTGAGGTCCGCCTGACGGGCAGCCTGGGGAACGCACCGCGGGGAAACCGACGACGGACCAGGGTCCTGGGGGCTGTACCCGAAAACACTGGGGTGGGCATTCTCACCTGTAATGTCTTTTTCTCTTTCTTGCCACGCCCAGCGATGGCTGGGGGCTTATTAGGCTGGAGCGATAGCACAGCGGTAGGGCGTTCGCCTTACAAGCGGCCAACATGGCCGACCCGAGTTCGATTCCTCCGCCCCTCTCGGAGAGCCCGGCAAGCTACCGAGAGGATTCGATATGCCAGACACAGTAACAACAAAAGTCTCCAATGGAGACGTTACTGGGCCCGCTCGAGCAAATCGACGATCAACAGGAGGGCCTTTACCTTTACCTTTACCTGCACTCCTGGGAAGTCTGGGATCGAACCCAGGTTCGCCTCGTGCAAGGCAAGCACCTTACTTGCTGTATTACTGTACCAAGCCTGTTTTTATTTTTTTGGGGGGGAAACCACATCTGGTTTGTGTTCAGGGATCACTCCTGGAAAATTTGGGGGACCACATGGGGTGCCGGGAACTGAATCTGGGTCAGCTG